GGGATTGGGGTCAGAATGGGGGGGTTGCAATTGTATGGGGAATATAAAAATAAAATTTATTATTTAAAAAAAAAAAAGTGGAATTCTGGAGTTGTGCCATCTTACGTTACTGATGGTTGCAAATGAGAGTTCCTGTTGCTCCACATCTTCATCCACACTTGATATGATCAGTCTTTTTCACTTGAATTACCCTAAAAGGTGTGTCGTGATTGCTCATTGTGGTTTAAAATTGTATTTCCCTAGTGGCTAAAGAATTAGGTTGAACTTCTTGTTATGTGTTTATTTGCTACTCTTATATGTTCTTTGTTGAGTTGCTAAACTCATGTATTAATTCTATTTTGTAGTATGACTAGGCTTTATTTATAGAGGCAATTAAGTTGTCTGAATAAGTGTTTTAATTTTAAAAAGTTGGTGTAAACCAAATGAAGACTTGAGTATTAAAAATTGCAAAGGTAATAAATAGAAGAACTAGAATAATAATATATCAAATTTTGGGAGGAGGCCAGAGAAGTATGAACAAAGTCCCTGGTGTGAATCAAGAACTGATAATTTAAGCATGTTATCCAGAGTTGAGGAGGTAACCACCAAGAGACCAAAGCAGAAAAATTTTAGAATAGTTGTCTTAGGAGACAGGAAATTGTGGCAAGTACAGGGAAATCAAGACACAGTTGCTTTCATGAAGTCTTCTATAGTGATGTGTTACCTCGTATATGCAGTTCTTCAATAAAAATAAATCACTGGTGTGTTGGTAATTAGAACATAAAGGTAAAAAGCAATATGAAGTAACTAAAATGGGTAGAGGTGAAGAGCTGAATATTATAAAGTAAGAAATCCTGGGCAACTAGTGTACAATTATGAGGCTGTATAAAGGAAAGGGGGGCCTTAAAATTATAGTCCTTGTTGATCAGGATGTAACATTTACTCAGGTGCTTATTGCATCCAGGCATTTCCTAAAGAATAAACATGTATTAACTTGTTTAATGGTCACAACAACCCATCAGGTTGTTACTATCATTGTTATAAATGAGGAAAGTGCAGAGCAGAGACCTTAAGTATGTTATTCAAGGCCACATAGCAAGGATTCAAAGCCAGGTGGCTGAGTTCCAGAACTGCCTCTCTTAGCTCTGATATTATATTGTGCGTCAGGTTGGACAGTGGCATAAGGCCCCACCACGGTGCATATAGTTGGTGCTCTTTGATTCTAAGATGACTAGACTTGTTCTCTAGACTGTCTTCTAAAATGATACTTAAATTTAGTTCGTTCATACTTTAGTAGATATCTTAGTGCCTATTAATAGGGTCTTAAGTACTAGGACTATTCCTGTTAGTTGGGGGGAGGCCAATGATCACGAAAAATGTATGAAGACAATGGAGACAAAAAATAAAGTAGAATAAGGAATAGAGTGATGATTTTGGTGGGAGAATGTTATTTTAGAAATGGAGACCCAGGAAGTCCTCTCTGAGGAGAATACACGTGAACATTGTCTTAGCTTGGTTGCTGGAACAAAAGCACTGCAGGCTAGAAGCTTAAACAGCAAATATTTGTAAAGGTGCTGACAGATGTGATATCTGGCGAGAACCTGCTTCCTGTTGCAAAATGGCTGACTTCTCTGTCCTCAGATGGTGGAGAGCAGACAGAGAGGAAGCAAGCTTGGCCATGGCCCTTCTGACAAGCGCACTAGTCCATTCACAAGGGCTTCATTTTCATGACCTAATTTCTTTGCAAAGCCCCCACCTCCTAATACCATCCTTGGGTGTTAAGATTTCAGCATAGTAAGTGTGTGTGTGGGGGGGGTTGCAGACATTGAGTCCATAACAAATGTAGATCTAAGTGAGGTAGCTAAGTGGACTGTGTAGATAGGGGGAAAGCATTCCAGGCAGGAGTAGTCAGTGCAAAGTCCAGGAGCAGGGCACCTGTTTGTGGTACTGTGCGGATGGCCAGAGCTGAGGCTGTGGAGGGGAAGTCTTGGGGTAAGGACAAGCAGAGGCTCTTAAACTTGATGGTGACTTTGGTATTACTTACAGTGTGATGAGAAGTCATTAAAAGGTTGAGAAAAGGGAAGGGACATCAACAGGAACTTCCTGCATTGTATCTCTTGAAGAGGCAATATTTCAAGAAGAGTATTGGAAGTGAAAGCACTTTGCTGGTGGGTGAAGGTTTGAGTAAAGTGCTAGGGAAATCAGATCCTCTGAGAATCAGGGAAAGTGTCTGCATTCACCATATGTAAGATATACCTTTCTTAAAAGGGGTTAATGGCGGCAACTGCAATTAAGTTGTGACTACAAAGACATGCTCATTAATGACCCTGTCACTGATTATTTCCTATGTTTAATGAAGGTAATATATTTGATTACCATTAAAAATTGTCTTTTATAGCTAAAAAGTTGTAATTGCAAGGCTACGTTAGGAGATTGATCTGGGGGCTGCATAATTGGTAAGGGATTCTGAAGGAAAGGTTTGCTTGAATTTAAAATATTCAAGTGAATGGAGACAGTAAATATCCAGATAGTCCTCTTTTTATGTTTTAAGAACTTTTTTGATTTGCTTACTTGAGACATAAACGTGTATTAGATTAAATGGTTGTTGAAAAGTGTGAATAAATCCTTCATTTCTGTTATCTAGGACAAAATTCTATCTTGGTTTATTTCTGGTAAATATTAAAAATTCTAGTCTAATTTACTTACCAAAAATATAAGTGAGATAATTTCTCAACATGTTCAGTTGTTTTAAGAAATTATAATAGAACCAATAAAACCAAAACTTTTTCCAAAAATTGATGACTGGATCAAGAAGATGTGGGATATATACACAATGGAATATTCTTCAGCAATCAAAAAAGATAAACTCATGCCATTCACAGCAACATGGATAGAGCTAGAAGGAATTATGCTCAGTGAAATAAGCCAGAAGGAAAAAGAAATATGTCGGATGGTTTCACTTATAGCAGGAATATAGGGGAACCAAGTAAGACATCAGTGTAAAAAAGTAATAACAGTACAAAACACAACAAAGCAAAAATGGGCAGTTATAAATCAGAGACATCCTGCAGGGGAGGAGGAGGGAGAGGCATCAGAGGGAGGGAGGGAGGAGCACAGGGGACTGAGGTGATGGTGCACGGGTGCATTGGGGAAGGAAATTCTATGGGGACTACACCTGAGGGGGTGGGAGGAAGCAAATATTGTTTAAAAATGAACAATGATGTAAAAAAAAATTAAAAAGTTAAAAAATTAAACCAAAACTTTTGAAAAACAGTGAAATAGGGAAATGTATCTGCACACAAACACAGGTCAGTATTCAGGATATATAAAGCACACAAATGATTATGTTCAACAACTAGTCTTTATTTGGACTAATGGCTAGAAGTTAAGTACTAGCATTTGTATATATCAGAAAGACTAATTTGTGTAAAAATAATCACCCATACTAGTTATTTTTTTTTAAGAATGCAGCCTGAGGTAACTGAGATTTAAAAAAAAATTAAGTTACGATGTTTGTATGACTTGTAAAATTGAAAGTACTTGTACATGATTGGTAGCATTCAAATTAGTACATACTTCCTGAAGGAGTCCAACAATATTTAACAAAAGCCATTGCACTGAACATATCCTTTCTTAGATCCAGTAATTTCTCTTTTCAGGGTGAAAAAAATCAAGAGAAAAAAATCTTGTTAGAACAATATTAACTTTAATGATGAAAAACTAAAAATAACTTCATTATCTAACATTTAGGGAAATTAAACTATAACAGCTTATGACAATATATTTATTACCTGAAGAAAAAATTGTATGGAAAAGCCTATAGAAAATTATTTTACTAAAAAAAAAACTGAATTATGAAGTTTATAATCAAGTATATTTATAAGGAAGAGAAAGTATGGAGTATTTTTGTTTTCCTTTTTGTGTTTTAGGTGGTATGTGAATATGATATGGAGATATAAGACAATTCACATAAAGAAAGGACATCATAAGATGTACAAAAGAATTCTCAGGGTCAACAAGATTTGGAGGACCTGATTCAATAACCAGAAATTGGTCCACTGTATGCTCCCTACAAAAGATAAGGCAATTGAGGAATACGTCTCAAGACTAATTAGAACTAATGCTGACTCTCAAAAAGTGAGCTAGATCAGCAGATGAAATTTACTTTTAGATTAAAAAATTACTTAGAGGGCCTCCCCTGGTGGCACAGGTGGTTGAGCGTGGCACTGTGAAGTGTCCGCAGCTTCTGCTGCATAGTTTGATCCCAGCCGACCCTTGAGAATCACACATGGTGCAGCAGACCTCTCCTGTCTCACCTACTGCTCCCTTCAGTAGTGTATTTCAGTCAGTCTGCCTGTTCTGCTCCCCGCTCTGTGTCTGGTGAATCTTCTCACTCTCCTGCACATCTGTCCAGTACCTCAGTTCTTGTATGCATGAATAAATAAATTTAAAAAAAAATTTAAAAACTGACTTCTTAAAAAAAAATTACTTCAGAGTTTTAGATTTATTATCAGGGCCCATACCCAATTATGTTTTGAAAATTCCATAGAAACAAATTTCCCAATTCTGAACAAATAGCACACTTTAATATCATTTACAACTAAATTACCGAAAGGGGAATTTCAGTAAGCCCCCAGGAGTCACTGTAATGGAATTTGACCTGCACTATATTGAGAAATAAAACTCCTGGGCTTGTCACATCAGATTATATTGGAACTCGACAGTAAACACTAAGGATTTCATTGGGTCCTTGAATGGGTCCTGCCCATTTTATGTATACACTAAGTACAAATATAAATCAGAAACAGGAGAAGGAATAAAGAGTTTTCAGTTGTTTTGAATTTAAAGATATTGTTCTAATGTGTCCCCTTTTCATGAGAAAGGGTTATCCCTGAGATGAGGTGAAATGAAAGCAGCGGCCTCCTTGCAATCTTAGTCGATGGCTGCGCCTCCTGATAGCTTCAATCATTAACCAGTAAAAAGATATGACCTCCATAACCACCACTGTTAAGACAAGTTACCTTTAGCACGAGCTTGTGGATCAGATCATTTTAATCATGTATAATAATTTGGTGTCAAGGGTCATGGGTCTTGTTTGAATTCTGCTTGATAATCTTAGAGACTATTCTAGAACTCTTGATGTCACAATTTGTGGGCTTCTAGATAATTTAACATCAGTTTATGAATATCTAGTCTACCAAGTAACTTTAGTTTATGATGTGAATATCAATTTTGCATCAATTTATGAATATCTGTCTTGCCAATACAATTTCCGATACTCTTAATGTTGGGATAGGGTGTATATATTCTGGAATGGGAAAGTGAGAAGCAAAGTTGACATTGCAATGTGTACAGTCATTAAAATGATCTCATTTCTTTGTCTTCCTGGCAAAGTGTTGTGAGGCAAATGTTGCCTATTTTCAATGTATTATTGAGAGGATTATTGAGATAAAGGAACAAGAGAGAAGGAACTAAATAAGTACTACTTCCTATCACTTTTTATATGCAGGGTTTTTGGTAAGATATTGTGGGCAAAAGTGGGATGGTGAGGCAACAGAAAATTCAAATGAATCAAATGTGGGGGTATTTATGAGCCAGGTAAACACATTTAATTAGGGGAAGATAAAGAAGCTTGGCAAAAAAAGCTGGATGTGCCAGCAATTAAGGTGAAAGTCAGCCTCAGGGTTCCAAATGAAGTCTCTAAGACTGTTGTGTGTGACCTTTGTTCTCTCCATATTTGAAGATAAATGGGGTGGACTTGTTGCCAGCTATGAAATTACTCTTGAGAGAGAAACAGTTTAATGTGTTAGAATGTTGGAATTATGCTCTTTGTTTTTTAAAGTTGCCTCTTTTTCAGTGGAAGTATTTCATAATTTGCAAATTGCCACCCTTTCAATGATGTGGGTGAAAGGAGGCTCAGAAGCCTGGGAGATGACTTTCAGCTCCTTCCAGCTCATCTTCACCTTCTAGGGTGTCCCCATACCCCCTCAGCAGGGCTCCAGTGAACTAATCCCAAGGTAGAATTGCTTCTAGAAGCTCCTGAATGTTTTCTCATAATCCTTGAATAAATGCTAAAGTGGAGAAGATAAGCATTTTTTAAAAATTCCTCTCATGGGATTTATCACATTCAGTGTGTATTTTCAGTTATTTGCAGGGGTGTCTTAGCTCCCTCCTGGGTTGTAAGTTCCTTGAGGGATGAAGGGTCTCTTGTTTATTTTTTTTTTTAATATTTAGAATTTTGTCCAAAACAATTTCCTTTACTCCCAAGTTTTGCTGACTGACTGACCTATATGAATCATGTATGTTTATTTCATAGTGCTTTGTAAGACTATTTGTAACTAAATAATGATCTGGATTTTTGGCATATTTGGGATTCAAAGGAAATTCATTCTCGTACATTTCTAACTTATCCTCTGCTGGTATTTTCCCTTCAGCCCACATAGGGCTCATCCACAGTATGTTTTACTCAGTATTCATATTTGTTGGGAAACTCAGAACTATGGCCACCTACTGTTTGTGAGGGGAACATCAGAAGACATGCTTCCTTGTCCCAAGTATACCAGACACTTGGGTCTGGTAAAGAGAAGCTAGTGGAGCCTGAAAATAAAAGATTTATTTCATTGAACAGATGTGGGGAGGCCAGTGTTTTTTCTGGGCAGGGCATTCAGGAGCACTCAGAGTTAAACAGCAGCTGGCACAGGAGCAAGGAAGCAAGAGCCCAGCTGAGTGGAGATGCCTGTCCACCCTGTAGGCAAAGCCTGGCGAGGCTTGGTTGGATGAGGTGGGCATTACAGTCGATTGCTGGCACAGTGGCCCTCATTCTTTAAATGCTTATCCTCCAAGGGTGGTGGCAGTGGTGATGGCAGCAGCAGTAGTGATGATAAAGAGGATGAAGCCTTGTACTAGTTTTGGGGCTTTCTACTTGTAACACCTTTTCTCTGTAATAAAGAAAGGTGGTTTATTGTGGGCGTGGGCCACAGGGTAACTAAATATTTGTGCACTTGTGTAATTGAATTTGAGATAACATTTTTGGAAAATTTCTAAGAAGCTGATCAGCCACAAAATTGCCAGTGGGGAGTGGGCAGCTGTGGCCAGCAAGAGCCTTGCAGTAGCACTTGCTGACTAGTGTGGTGCACAGTGCTGGATGCTGGTGACTTCTCATTGCACATGCAACTGTACAGGCATGTATTTTTTGTTTTTCCCTATTCTTTTTGTCCTCATCTGTCCCTTGAACTTAATGTGTGAAGGGAGAAGGCTAACAACAGTGCTTCCTAAAGAAATTTTTTTTAGTACTGTCTCCCTTGAGTCCTATGCTATACTCAAACTCTGTGAATTTTAGGCTTTTGGGGGTGGGGAAAAATCGAATTAAAATTCTCCTCTGTCAGTTTGAGCTCAAACCAAAGATTTCTAACTCTCCCTCTGAATTCATCAAAATTAAAATACCTACCCCATGTAAGGGATCATTTAACCAGTAGGTGTTTATTAAAAAGCAGTGGAATATTCTCTGGTGGTTAGTTTGAATTTGGGTTCAAACTTTGGCTCTGTAACTGCCATGTGACCCTGGGGAATGTCGCTCGTCCTTTATTCCTCTATGTTTTCAGCAATAAAATGGGGGCAATTATGTGCCTACTTTATTGAGTTGTGACATAAACCCTCAAATATTTGCTAATATTTATTTGACAATTTGGATGATCATTGCAAATGAAATTCACTGATTAAGGAGCTTACAGTATAGTTGAGCTATGCCCAAGAAACACAACCAGTGATGCTGAGAATGCATAGTTAGAATGGACCTCTGAGAGTTGAGAAGGGTAAGCTCACTTCTGTGTGGGAGGCAGGCAGGATTAGTGAAGCTGGAAGCACCTAGAGAATGGGGAAATATCCTCCCTTGGAAGGAAGAAGAAGAACTAAACTTTAAAGCTACACCCAACATATGTCTGCTGCCTGCTTAAGAACCTGGCCTGTGAGGACTGTGAGCAGGCAGGTGAACCCAGAATGTGGCCAGTTGACTAGAGATGGAAAGGCTGTGTGTGGCTGATATTGCTCCTGTGGCTTCCTGCTGAAGTGGTCCTTAAACTCACAGGCAGGGGAATGTCCCTCCCGTCTGTGGGCTACAGGAGGAGAAATAGGATTGACAAAGAAGGGAGAACATGCCTATCTGTGAGTCACAATGTAATGAAGGAACCATTCTTCAGTGCTTCTGTGTTAATTTATCACAAGGAGCCAAGAGTAGATAGGTGAGAGAGGAACGTGTTTTCAACAAATGGTGCTGGGAAAGCCGGACAGATAGCTACATGCAAAAGAATGAAACCTCACACCATACACAAAAATTAATTCAAAATGGGTCAGAGACCTGATGTAAGACCTCAAACCAGAACAAACAGGAAAAAACATTGGCAAAACATGCCATGACTCAGGCTTCAGAGATGTCTTTGGGGACTTGACTCCAACAGCAAGGAAAACAGAAGTACAAATAAACAAATGGGACGACATCAAACTGAAAAACTTCTGCACAGGAAAAAAAAATCATTAAAATGAAAAGATTTGTACTTCATACATCCAACAAAGGATTAATACCCAATATCAATGAGAACTCATACAACTCAACAAAAAAGGTAAAGAAGCAAATTTTAAAAATGGGCAGGAGAGCTAATAGGCACTGCTCCCAAGAAGACATGGCCAATAGGCACATGAAAAAATGTTCATCATTTATGTTCAGGGAAATGCGAATCAAAACCACAATGAGATACTGTGAGAATGGCCCATATTAAAAAAAAAAAAAACACAAAAACCAAGAAACAGAAACAACAGATGTTTAGTGGTAGAGAGAAAAAGGACTCCTCACACTATGCTGGTGGGAATGTAGACCAGTCCAACCCCTCTGGAAAACAGCATGGCAGTTTCTCAAAATATTAAAAAATAGATATCATGTGATCCAGCAATTTCACTCCTAAATGTCTCTCTGAGGAATGTGAAAACACCATTAGGAGGAATTAATGCACTCCTATGTTCATTGCAGCACTATTTACAACAGCTAATTTGTGGGAACCACCTAAGTGCCCAGTGACAGATGAGTGGATTAAGAAGACGTGGTGTGTATATATACAAATGGAATCTGATGCAACTATACAAACAAGCAGTCTTGCTACTTGCATCAACATGGATAGAACTGGAGAGGTTTTTGATAAGCCAAGTCTAAAAAGAGAAAGACAAAGACTTATGATTTTACTCTTATGTGGAATATAAAGAAACAAAGGAACTGAAAAAACTAAACCCAAACAAACGCTTGAAATCTACAGAACTGAGGCTTGCAGCAGAGAAGGGTGCAGAGCAAAGGGGAGAGGGACCCAGTGGACTACGGTGGAGGATTTTGGGTGCTTAGGTGGTGGGTGTGGTGTAACATGCATCTGAAGAAGTGTAAACCTGTACCACTAAATCACACACAGTGTCTTAACCAATGTTACCTTAATGAAAAAAAATACAATCATAAAAAAGAGGGGGGCCTCCCCTGCTGGCACAGGCGGTTGAGTGCCGTGCTGTGAAGCTTCCGCAGCCTCTGCAGCGCCAGTTCGATCCCGGCCAGCCGATGAGGGTCCCACATGGCATGGCAGACCTCTCCTGTCTCACCTGCTACTCCCCTCAGCAGTGTATTTCTTCAGTCTGCCTGTTCTGTTCCCTGCTCTGTCTCTGGTGAATCCTCTCACCCTCCCACACATCTGGCCTGTACCCCAGATCTTGTGTAATGAATAAATAAATCTTAAAAAAAAAAAAGAGGGGGAAGAAAAAAGACTATCAGTTTGATGTTTGCAGGGATCTTCTGCTATCAAGTAGCTGGAGGCTAAGGCTGATTTTGGTACAAACTGCTAAACTGGGGGAAGATATCAAATGACCATCTAGTTTCTAGTGGATGGGTAAAAGAAAATTGGGCTAAAAGAAAATTTAATACCCTTTTGCCTTTTGGGGGTCACTTCCTAGACTATAACAATGTAGTTATTTTGTATAACTTAACCCTGACCACTAAGGGAGAGAATCTTGCTGTGTCATGTGGAAAATAGAGGGGCCACTGAAGACATTGTTCATGGAATTATTTTTAGCAGTT